TTTTTAATTATTATTATGAAGAATAATATTATTAGTTGTACTATACTATGATTTACTGAATATAATACTCTATGTAACAGATTATGTATACACAATTGTTTCAATTTTTTCTCCAGAAATCTTCATGCTACTTTCTGTTTCTAGGAATTCGATCAACAACAAATAATAGTAAAAAAGAATTTACAGTCAGTGATTCGCGTTCGTGATAAAACCCATATGATGGAGACATTATGGCAACCGATGGACTTTTTAGATTGGATCCATCGCTTGAGAAACTGTGATATAGAAGACTCGATAAAGGAATTGCGGGTTTTCCCTTACAATTGGGAGCCTTATGACACGAGAGAAATATTCGAAGACTCTTTAAACAATAGTCGAATTTCGATAAATATGACACCTGTAAAAAAACAATTGAACGAGAGCATTCATCAACTTACCATGGACACATCTATATTGGAACCGACTTTAAATGATCAAACTTCTGTAACGCATGATCAACAGGAAGATATAAATGCATGTCTTACTCAAATTGAAGTTGCCGCGAAGACCTTGAACAAGCTGTGCCACTATCAGAATCACAATATTAAGCCAATCGTCGAATCGTTAACCAAGATACAAGATATTATTGAAACCTTAAAAAGCATCTTCCAGAATAAAGATTTAAGTGAATGTGAAGACACGAGTACAAATTCGATAAACAGTGTCAACAACACTGTCATTGATGTAACAAATGATATAAAGACTATCTTCCAGAATAGAGATATAAATAAATGCAAGGAAGAAAATACAGCCTCATCAGATAATGTCAGTAATAGCAACATAGATAAAGGATTAACTGCGAAAAATGTTGTGAAAAATTCTTTAAATCACAATATGTCACCAAAGAAATCTAGCATGCAAAGTAACATTGATGTGAAAACTGAAAATTCTCCAAAAAACGTGAGGTTCATTGATAAAATTGAACGTCAATGAGTTCGATAAAATAAGTAATAGCTATTTAGGATAATGATTATTTTTAAACAAAACTTTTCAACTATCATCTCAAAAGTATCTTATTATTATTGTAATAATACTACAATAATGATACATATCATTTCACAGATGTAGACTTGTGACCCATTAATTAATTTATATCTTTTAATAAGCTTTAAATAATTCATTAGAACATGCCTTTTGTTTTTTCATGTTTTATTATTTTATCAGTTTTATTTAATTTTGAAATTTTGCTTGCATCATAAAACGGTTTTAATTCATGTAACCTAATTAAGAGGCTTAGTAACAAGATACTAAGATACAACAAGGAAATTAAATTATTTGTTTTACGAATATGTTAAGTAAAAAGAAATGTTTTTTATAACTTATGAATATTATATGAATTGTATATTGTGTATGTAAGCCTAGTTATAAATGATGCATTAATTAACCAATAATTAAAACGTCAGTTTTTAATTCTTATATTTAATTTTAAGACTGATCTCTCCCTTTAATATAAAATTTATTTTCCATGGAATTAGATAAAAATTTATAAGTTCTTATAAAACTGTATATGTAAAAAAGACTGTGAAGATTTTGTAAAGTTATCTATATTTATGTGTGCCACAAGAGTGACAATAAATCTTTATAAATCAAATAAAAATGATGCACACATATATATAGTCAAGCAACTGGGTCAAGTTTTATTAGAATTAAGTTCGATAAAGTTGAATTAAGACAAACACACATATTAACAAATTAATAGTGTATCTTAATCAAAATAATCTTCAATATCGATATTAGGATTTAACAAATCTTCTCCATACATACTTAAGTCCAACTGATCAAGTATCAAATTTTCACACATTTCCTCCAAATCTGTCTCTCCGATGAGTACCGCGCCCTGCATTTTGCCATCTTGTAAAATAATTTTGATATATTCTTGGTCTTTGGTGATTCGCAAAAGTATCTCATAATTCTTTTCCAAAGTTTGTCCATTGTACAAGCCGAGTAAGATAACCTTGTAAGAAAAAAATTTAGTCACATGAGTGAAGAGTTCGAAGCAAAAGTCTTGCAAGAATTCTTCGTTTCTTAAAGTCGCGACCATTGACTTTGCAGCGTAACGACCCATTTGATGAGCTTGTGTCCAAAGTCTCATCTGAAACCAATGTTTCGCTTTTGGCCAATCTACAGTACACACGTCTCCAGCAGCATAGATATCTTTCTTTGAAGTTTCTAACTTCCAATCTACTAATAATCCAGTGTCCTCTCCTTTTTTAAGATCTTCTAATCCATGTATGTCAGAATTTGGAATAACACCTGTTGCTGAGATAATAAGATCACACCCGATAATTTTACCATTTGTTAGTCGTGCATAGATTGGCCATTTTTCTGTAGAATTGGACTGTTTTTGCTCATCAGAAGTAAGTATTTTCGATATTTCACACTCGTACTCGACTTGTACATTTGTAGATGTAAAAAGTGTACTGCTCATGTCAAAACTGTTGTGCCAATCTGGACCAAGAGCAGCTCCGTTTTTAACTGGTGCGGTATCTGATACTACATATCTCATTCTTTTGGTTGGTGTATCTTTATTTTCCGACATATCGGATTTGGAATAAATCTTGTTTAAAAAGAATTCGGCAGCTCCAGGATCGACAAAAGTTGCGGAAATGTGTTTATCTTTAATTACCCAGATTATTTCCACGCCTTTAATCTCGTGTACAATTTCGGTAGCAATTCCTCCGTTACCAATAATTATGATTCTTTTCGCATTTTTAAGCTTATGAGAGAATTGTAGTACAGATTCTGTATCACGAATACCTACAATAAGGTTATTGTTTTCTGCAATTAACTTCGGTTTCGCGCCAGTACAAAGGCACAACATTTTGAAACTTATAGTCTTTCCATTGCTAATTTCTACTAATTTTCTAATAGTATCAATCTTGACTACAGTATCATGAATCACTTTTAACATCTTATGTTTCTCGTCTAAGGCTGTTGCACTTTTCTCTTCTACATCAAAATGTATTAATGTTTTGCCTAATGGAACTATATTTGTCACGGCTTTTATCAAAGGACTAGCAGTAATTAAGATTATACTTTCTTCTGGAGCAAGAAAGCTTAATCCTTCAGCGCAGGATACTCCAGCTATACCACCTCCGACTATGACAAAGGTGGATTCTATTTTTTTTCCCGTATATGCTTTGGATTTATCCATATTTAATAGAGAAGTATATATATATATATATATATATGTTAATCGATTTTATTTGTTCTGTTTCCACTCAAAATAATTGTATTGTCTTATAGGAACATCGAATGTAATAATTCCATAATCCTTGGCCCTCATTAACGCAATTTCGAGTTCTTTGTGTCTCTTTTGACAAATACTTGTTTGTCTATAAATATATAGAAAATATCCAAACTTAAATATATATATGTCAAAAGATATTTTAGCACAAACATAATAGAGAAATATTAATGAAATATTAATGATGAAACTAAGATATTACTTACGAGTAACTTAGAATTTCTCCATTGTATTTGCTGATAAATTGTTCAAGTAACTTGACATTTCTATGATCAAATACAAGATATTCGTCCCTACATATGGGACAGGGATTTCCAGTAGATATTATACCACCTCTCTAAATTATATATCATAATTATTAGAAAGATTATATCAATTTTGTCATACGCATATGGCAGAAAAGTTTGCATACATACTACACAAGTTTTTCGAGTTTTTCTAGGTGCTCTTTGTCCTTTATAATTTCTTCTATATAATTTCCATACTGGGTTATCTCCATAAGTCTGTTTGTAAGCTAGATTTTGTGATATTTATGTCATATAAGTTTGTAATAATGATGTTACTAAACTTTATAATAATCATACTTAATATCAATCATATGTAATAACTAATTAATGACTTCTTACCATCACTATCCATATACTTGATACTTGTCTCTACTGAAACAATTGGTCTGTGTGCACCTTTAGAAGTACATATAGTCGATCTGTTGCCTTCAGTCGTTATTTCTTCCTTCGTATTATCAGAATAGCGTGGACATGAGGAAATAATGGATCTTGTTGAATCGAGCTACAAATAATTTATATCTATAAAAGATATTGGTTTAAATATGTGATTTTTCTAATACGATTATTTTGCAAACTTACTTTATGAGTTAAATTTGCTCGCGCCAATGTTCCTATTCGATGTATTGCGTTTAGAATCAACATCTTCGGCAAGGTTACTGTGAAAATAAAAAGTATCTATTTAAAATACTATATAATTAAACAGTTTCATATAGGTTAACAGCACATGGATTAAACAATCTGTAATTTACAATGGTAAATGTTATAGAATGAAGTCATAATACGAATTAAATATAAATAAATAATCGCGAAATTTACATTATGAAGTAAATAGATATTGATATTTATCGCACAATTATCATTTAAAGAATAATAATTATATTATATATATACATCATAATACACACATATTTGGCAAAGTCAAGTAATACGAAAATCATAGAATGAAAACTGAATCTATATTCATAAACACACATATGACAATGTACTTAATAATATATTTAAAAAAATAAAAAAGAATATATTACATGTAAACATATATTTTTTTAACATTTCATAATTTATTTCAATTCTAAAATAGTTTCTTATTTGATTTATACGATTTCATGAACACGAGTCGCGACGTGCCCTCCT